ATAAAACTGATCAGTCTATAGTTAGAAGGAGATAAAGGGTTTTTTACCTTTAGAATTAGCACAATAATTAGTTTCGTTTCCATTCCTTGCACATCATACCTGTTTTGAAGAAGTGGTCCATTGCATTCCACAAATCTACCTTGATAATAGACCAATATGCCTTGAGGGAGAATAAGAAAAATCCCATCTTTGCCCGGAGCAATGTTTGAACCCAGCTCTTGGATCACCTTCCATGTATTCAACCGTGAAATCTCTGTTAAGAACCAAAGAGTCTTCTGTATTAATATTTTTATTTTTCACGTCTGGGCCATCCCACTAGAGAACACTCGCTTTCTTTCCACTTCTCCTTGAAATAGTTGTTGTGAACATTTTTCACCTGAATCTATTCTTCCACGATTATTCCATTCTCATCCTTAATTTTGTGAATAAGATTCTATCCCCTTGAAACTGGCATAATCATGAAAAAAATCTGGATTTTAAGTCCCCTTCCTTAAGCATTTCACTTTGCTCGCTTGCTTCCACCATGTTGCCAAGATGAGCTAGGTAGAATGTCAGATTATCCATTGTTTACCTGAGTAGCCAAGCTATCCTACGTTAAAACTCCAATGTCAGCTTCCTTAATTTTGGAATTCCAGGATTTATCTCTTAAATTCCTCTTTCAACTGATTAAGCTTCCTTATACTTGGCTACTCCAATAGACAAAGCTTTTAAGCTCTATTCATTTTGATTCACAATATGAGGAAGATTGCCACAAGCCTTTTCTTCCCCATTGCCTCTACAATGGTCAAGAGCTTCTTACTTACTTTATAACTCCAATAAATTCAATAATATCCGGGACAGTGATACGACACTATCCTGCCAGATGCGCTGCACTACCATCCATTGGGACAGGTTCATAGCCCAAGAATGAAGGCACCTGTCCAGCTTTTCTAGTATCCTTATGCTCCCTTTTGTTATTACACCCATGTGAACCGTTAGGACCAATCTTCTCAACATCATGTAAATCATTACACAGTAATGAAGGATTCATCTTCCTTAGATCCAAGAAGGAAACACAACTCCCTGTCCTCCCTTCTTCTCCTCACTAGATAGCTAGACAATGAAAACTCTCCACCCACTTCAATGGACTTCCTTAGACACATGATATTCCAACCTCTCCCAAAGAGACCTTCTACTATAAGTGTCTCTACTTCCATATACTGTTACAATTTTCCACTTCCCTTTGTTGAGCACCTCCAACTCTCCAACCACAAATTGTTGAAGAAGATTCCAATGCTTTGAATGAAGCCATGTTTTTCTTCCATAACAACATGATACCACCGGATAAACCTTCGGCAGGGACTTAAACAAAGTCCCAATCCATTTCTATCAACAGATTCACATCCTTCATCAAATTGAGCCGCTGAGTTTCAAGTAACCCAATGAAGAACACTCCATACTCCATAGTAAAACTCTTTTAAAAATAGGGAAGCTTTCCTTTTTTTTGGCTCCCCTACAATTCATAAAACAATGATGAATTCATTATTTTTTAGGAAGATTTCCCCAGAGTTCCTCCAGATCACCTTCCCCCCTCGTATTCCTTGAGACCAAATTAATTGGCACCAAACCTTTAAGTTGCTTCAAACCTTTCTTCCTGCAGTGCTGAATTAATCCCCTGGGTGCTCAATAAGTGTATATTTACTTATCATCCCCCGTTATCAACGTCTTTAACTTCATTTTATAGACTTGGAACTTAGGCAGCTCCATCGTCCCAATGTTTAAATGATCCTATCTCCAAAAATCTGATTTAGCACATCAGAAGTTGATTGGACATGTGAGAATACCTATAAGCTGAGAGCCAGGCACTCCGACCATGGTTCATCAAACATTCTATTCTGAAGGGAGAATAGGAATGTTGTTCCAAAACTTCTTGCCCGAGGAGCTGGAATTCATCATGATACCTTCATTCGTTTTGTCCCTGCACGAAATATCCATCCCTTCATGTTTTGTATTGCTCTTCATTCTAGGTTTTGTTTTATTCCAAGGATTTTGACGCCTTCCAACCTGGTCTACCTAGTATTCTTGAATTTCAGATTTTGAATCTTCTCCCCCATTAATCTACATGAGATCCCAGGACCATAAGTTGTCTTTTGTCAATCAGTATACACTTCTTCATTTGTAGACCTTTCATTTTGAATAGGCTTTCCTGATACAGCCACTTCTTCATTGGATAATTTAGACTGAATAAGAACCGCGATTTCTGAGTAACTGACATCAGCACAGCTATTCTTCACATGTCCAATTTTGCCACATCTGAAATAGAAAATCTGAGATTTCTCTCATACTCAAATTTTGATAGAAATTTTACCGAGAAGCTCCTTCACCCAAGCTCCCATAGGCAACTTGTCTCAAGATTGATCTTCACACAATCCCTGGCAAAATTCCTCTTTCCCCTTTGGAACATGTTTCATAAAACTAGTACGGTGTTCCAACCTTGAAGCGATTCTACAGACATCACTTCATCCCAACCACTGTAAGGGAGGTTGGCATCCTGACCACATCGGAGCCATTAAACCTTTAAGAGAAGTAGGCTGAAATGCTGAGAACCATTGTCTAGACCAATATATGCCCATTTCACATACCAAGGTCCACTAGAGAGAACTGACTCAAGAGCCTTCAGATCTTCAAAAGCACACACGACCCATGCTCCTCCAAGAAGAGTAATGTTTAAACTTTCAAATTGTGTCCATTGTCTCCTTAGCTTCCCATACCCTATAACATGTAAGGCCACAAATTCTCTGAAAACCTCACTTACCAGTGATTTCTTCAATATTTTAGAATTTCTAACTCTTTCTCCTGTTAAGCATAACACACCATAACATTTGAGCATTTCTCCATAATCAAAAATCAAATAACTTTGAATTAGATTTCTTAATCCATGCATGGTGCAACCTTACTAGATTGAATAGGACCTTCTGCTATTAGATCCTTGCTGCAGTTGCCTAATTCGTGCCTAAAGTTACATCCCAAACCTACACGAATCACAGCAACCAAATTGCCACTTAAAACTGAATTTTCCACTAACTGGGAAATTCACATCATTACATCTTCAGAAGATGGTGAATAACTTGACCATCACCGGAAGCAGTGCATCTTCAAAGCATTTGACGATATCATATCAGATTTAGATACGATAACTTCAGATTCACCAATGGAAGAACGAGACAATTTCAATCCATTTTGTAAAACAGACAAATTGATAGCTTCATCCGATACTTCATTGAGCACCTCTTTACCTTTTCTTGTATACACTAATAGATTCTTTTTTGAAAATAACCTCTTCATTTATACTTAAGGCTCCAGACGTTTATCCTTGTTTAAACTCATGATCAAACACCAAACCTTGCATTGCCAAAACAGGGGAGATACCCATTACTTGATGAGAAAGAATCCGAACAGTGTTGATGAAGTCCGAAGGGACATCATGGTGTCAGAGTGGAGGGCCGGCGGCCCGTCCACTTGTCATTGAAGGCAGGCAAGAATGCGTAGACAAAAATTAAAAAAACTAACATTTTCTCTCTTTTAAAAAAACTGGACTCTCTCTCTAGGAAAATTGTGACTCTCTCCCTACTTAAAATCTTTATTTGTGGATGAAGATATAAGTATAAGAAACTTCGTTTGTGTATAAGGAATTGCGATCATTTAGATTGTAAAAATCCAAGCTAAGTATATTGGTTGAGTGACCATCTTTGTTTCTACAGCCGCCTAAAGGTGTATATTAATGTGGATTTGCCACATAAATTTTC